GGGTAACGTTTATTTCAGGAGGTAAATCATACCTCATGCTAGTTCATAAATTCAAGAATCACGCTGGCTTTCTGTAAAGTTCGTGCGTCACATATCAGTTAGTTTGGCCTTAATCACGCATCACCTTAAACCCTTTATCACCCACCCTATAAAAGAGCACCGTTGCGCACAATGACTTTAATTAACGCTTCAGTTGTGCTCTTAAGTTTCAATAGTCCCATTCTTACTGACCTTTCGCTTTTTGTTCATTGCAAAAATAGTTCGGCAAGAAATAACTACTTTCAGTTGGCCATCAGACTCCGGAGAGATAACAACACTGTTAAAGCAAGAAGTTATCATGAGTTCTGTCTATTTTTTTCATTGCCTTTTTCTCTTTGCAAAAGGGAGTTACGAGGTCCATCTTTTGTCCTTCGCCCTAAATACATAGAATAAACAACCAAAATAAATAGCTAAGACGTTACGGATAAAAAGATATCTAGATCTCAGCTTAATTAACTAACAGACAGAGTGCTTGATAAAACCTGAATCTACGGTCATATTGAAATAGTTGTCCTGAGAAATCCTTTCATATCGTGACACAGATATCTTTGAATTGTTCACGTTTTTCAAAGGGTCACCCGAAGTGCATTTGATAACTGACTCATCGCGTGAGTGAATGATGTGCATAGCCTCGTACTTGTCTTCGTGAAGACATAGCTGCCACTTAGTAGTTCACTCCAGATACTTGGCGAGGTCAGTTTAAAGTAGCATATGATCTGTAAGTGGGTAGCGAAGTAAAGGTGGGGGGGGTGGGACTGATCCCGTTTCACTCACAAATTTCAGAAAAATTCACGCTTTACTCATATAAAAAGGGAAAACTTCAGATCTCTCTTCTCACGCACAAGGATTTCATAGAAAGTTTGAAGTTTTCTTGAACTTAAACAAAAAAAGTCAGTGGGTAGCGTTTATTTCAGGAGGCAAATCTTGCCTCACGCTAGTTCATAAATTCAAGAATCACGCTGGCTTTACGTAAAGTTCCTGTGTCAGACATCAGTTAGTTTGACCTTAATCACGTATGACCTTAAACCCTTTATCGCCCACCCTGTAAGAGAGTACCGTTGCGCACAATGACTTTCATTAACGCTTCAGTTTTGCTCTTAAGTTTCAATAGTCCCATTCTTACTGACATTAATTCCGCCTTTCGCTTTTTGTTTATTGCAAAAATAGTTCGGCAAGAAATAACTACTTTCAGTTGGCTATCAGACTCCGGAGAGGTAACAATACTGTTAAAGCAAGCAGTTTCCATAAGTTCTGTCTATAATTTTCATTGCCTTTTCTCTTTTATTTTCAAAGGAAATAATCAATTATCGCGTCTTGTTAATTCACAGTTCAGTTCTGTCACCGTGTTTGTTTATTCGATAGAGGAGGAAACTTTTGGTAAGTTTGAAAGCATGTGTTTGAATTTTTCTCGTCATCTTTTGGGATAAGGGTAAAATAGAAATGCTGTCCACAAAAATGCAGGGCTCTCGAACTAAACGATGGAGTCGTAGTATTAAGTGAAAAAATTGTTTCAGTGCCACCGTAATAATATTTTTGTCTTAATGGAGGGTGTCAGTTAATCCGGATTGTGACCCAAGAAGTTAAAATCCTAGCAAAGAATATAAAATTATTCCTCTCCCTGAAAATCGTAAATTATACGGAAAGGCGAGCTTTTTCGGCTTTTTTTTTGGCTTTGCCACCTATCACTTTCAACGCTTCACTGAGGGCTTAGACTTCAACTTACGATCTGAGGAAAAATAATACAGCTTCTCTATCATCTACAAACTGTAAAAACAATACTCAAGAAAAGGTATATTGAATCGAAGAAATTTCACCTTTGGGTTCAGTGCTAAGTAAGTCGTGCGATCAAAGAAAGCGTTGTTTCGCCTTGAGGCAATGATTTCTCATCGCTATTTACGGAATTTTTAGAACAAAACAAAGAAATAATAAGGCAGTTCATGAAGTCACGAAAATAAAATTCTGTATTTTCACTTTTGTCAGAGCCAGACACAACCACTATAACAGATTTAGTTGAGAATGGTGAATTGATCTGAAATGAACTTCAGCTAGCAAGCCACTCATTGAATTCAATCACGTTTAAACCTGAATGTTTCGGTCCAATTCTTCAGGCCGCAGCTAAGCTCGTGAAGCAGGTTTTTGATTTTCTCAGTTGCCTGTTTTAATCAAGTCTTGCTGACTTATCGAGAAAAATTTTTGTCGTTTAATTCTTTGCATTTCACCTGTTCGGGTTGAAAACAGTTTTTTCGGTCCTTAGCAATACCACTCAGTCAATACTCTGCAAGCGCCTTCCACGCTTAGTTGAAGATTCAAACGTAAATAACTTCCGGCGGCTTTCATTAGCACCTTTAACATATTCAAGCCAAAAATCACTGTATTATTGAACGAAAAGGGCACCTCAAAGGGATAAAGCACCAAGTTTTAAACCAGCTGAGTTTTAATGTTAAGGTAAGAGCCTATTGTATTCTTGTGACATACATATAAAAGAATTCACGACCTTTCCTTGTGGCAAAGTGTTATTTGTAAGCCGCTTCAAACAAACAAACAAACAACAAAACAGTTCTAGAAGTCACGATGTGACATTGGCAATTTTGTTCTCGTCGAAAGATCACATATAAAGCTATTGTGTTAAAGTTTCATTCTTAACATAGTTGTAAATCATTATAAAGGAATTGTTTTATTATTTTGAAAATGGGAATCGTCCGCATAAGAAATATATGTTAATCGCCAGCCGGGGAGGTCCATATTGAGAAAAACTGTGACTTTGCTCTTGAGGTACTCAAGACCAAGGGCACAGTTTTTTTCCAATACGGACCGACCTAGGTTGATGGATAACATTTTTATTTTTTTTCTTAAACTTCACGAAATTCTTTCCAAAAGAACCCGAATGATTTAGGGCTGTAAATACGGCAAGATCTTCAATAAACTGAACAATTTTTCAACGAGCAAACGGTAGTTGAAATAGAAGTTGTGCAAATTAAAGAGAGATGCTTCACCGAAACATTTTGCATTGCGTAATGATAAAGGTGATTTGAAAGGTTTCCAAACAAACTTTGAAACATTATTTTTACAATTATATCTGTCACAATATGACACCTGTCGATAAGAAAGCGCGTAAGAAAAAAAAAAAACGCATGCCCCCTTATAAAAAAAAACAACGGAACTAATTTAGCAGGGAATGTCGCGATGCTTATGTTTTCTTCAAAAACAGTCAATGATCTTTCGGAAATTAATATTCACTCTCATCGACGATTAATTAATGTTCGAAGGTTTACCTCTGTTTAGTTATTAAATGGCAAGAAAAGTAATTGTAAGTAAATTCAAATTTTTTATTATGAAGTTGTGAGAGTTTGCTCGTTTGTTTACTGCAATGGCGTGTGTAAATCTGGTTGTTCCTCCACAAAACTAAATTCGAATAGTCGGCCGGATAGTCAGTCGGTTCGTATTAGGAAAAACTGTGCCCTCTGTCTTGATTACCGCCCGAGACCGTAGACCTCAAGCACAGTTTTTCACAATACGGACCTCCCGGCTGGTGAATAACATATATGTACACGGACCGCGCTAAGAACCAATCAGATCGTATAGTTCGTTACTGTGCCCTCTGAGAAGAAAATGAGTAAGAATATCATGAATAGAAATCATGTATGCTATTCTTTGAACGATAAAATTCATGTTTTTTGTTGTTTCCGTTATTCTTACAGTCCTCTTTTCTGTTTATCTTTAAATTCTTATTGCTGATGTTTATCTTCATCTTGCACCTCGTTTTTTATGGTTTATTTTTGTCTACTTGTTGATGTTGTGTTTTTTCCTTTGTCCGGTTTTTTTTCTCGTTTTTCTTCCTTTTTTTTTCCTCATTCTGCTTCACAGCTTATCCTTTTTCAATAAATTGTTTTCTATTTGCTCGTGATTTTCAACAACTTTTTTTACAATTCTTTCGTCTATTTATCTATTTCTTTGTTGCCACAGATCCACGAGAACCTAATTATCAATATGAAGAGGGCAATTCTTTTGGCGACATTTATGCTTGTTTTACATCAAACAAAAGGTAACGCATTCCTCTCGTCTTTATTCATCTTGATTAAAAAATTATTATAACCATTTACAATTCCTCGTAGGCTTCATGAATTGACGATTATATCTAAGCATTACGAAAAGCAATTATGAGATAAAAGAATTTAAATCTGCGATTTCCTCGCCGGTTTAATTTGGATTCCTTAACCTTTTATCATTATAAAGTGTCTCTTTTCTCACAACTACAACTAAATGGAATGTATTATTACCCATCATAAATGAAGGAGTTGGAGTTAAAAAATTGTTTTTCACTCCCTCTCAGGTCAGACGTCGGCCTCAGTGACTTGTAACTCCAATCACACTGTGAGTATAGTGATCTCAAACGTGGATGATGTAGAATTTTGGGACCCACCAGAGTGGAGAACATCGACAAACACTGCAGCGTGTCAACCAACACTTAATGATGGTGCTGAAACAGTTACCTATGAAGCTCTATACCTCCCTGACTGTGCTTACGAGTCAAACCAGAAAGATGGAGAAGTTCAATACATCCTCAAAATCAGCGCTGAAAAGACTGCAGGTGATCCAGTTACAAAGCAGTTGCGCACTTATGACCACCTGTACTACGTCACGTGTAACTACGATAACACTGGCAGAGCCTCGGCGAGTTTTGTGCCGATCAAGAACCGAGCGGATAACGACACAGGTATGCAGCTCTGGTTAAGATAACAGCATGTATAATTTACATAAACATTCTTAGAATGTATCCGTGCAAAGAGGAGATCCCTGAGGAGCGTCTATCAAACCTTTGCCACCGAATATATTGACCAGCCTTCCTTCAGTGGCTGATGGTTAAAAAAGAATCAAATAATCCCTTTGTCAAGATATGGTGGATTTGATTTCCATTTGATACAAAAAATAAAGTGGCCGAGAAACATTTATAAGAGCCTGGCATGATTTTGAAAGACAACCATGCATGCGCACAAAATGCATTCGTATTTCGTTTTGAGATAGAGAAAGTTTTACTCTTCATCCTTAACGCTACGGGACTATTCAGAGCATGCCGGTCCAAAAAGACTTCTTATCATCAACTAACCTGAAAAAATGTAGAATTTTTAAACTGTTTTTTTTCGTCAATTAGTGATCTGTAACTGCTACTGGAGTAGAAGTTACAGATCATTGAAAAGATATCTCAACTGCACTTCATTCAGTTTGCTAATCTAGCCTTGCTTTTAGCAGAACGAGCAAAATCCTTGAAAAATGCAAATGTATTCGAGAAAGTCTTTTAAAATCTCTTTTGTTTTACTTTTCCTTACTGGCTTTTGTGGTCTCTTTTGTCATTTTCAGATGACGGATTTTTCACCTTTTCTCTCATGGCATATCTGGACGACATACATAGAACTCCCTTTAAAATTTCTTTTGCTTTGTTTTACTTTTCCTTACTGGCTTTTGTGGTCTCTTTTGTCATTTTCAGATGACGGATTTTTCACCTTTTCTCTCATGGCGTATATGGACGCCATACATAGAACTCCCGTTTACGGCTCTGTTGATCTGGATGTAGAGATTTTCTTCAAAGCTGAAGTCGAGACTCAAAGCAATGCACCCAACCTTGACTTGTATCCTGTGCGATGCTATTCATCACAAAGCGATAATCCAGATGATACTGGTGCTAACTTTACTCTTATAAGCAACGGGTAAGAATTTCTGTGAGAAAAATTTGCACGTTATAAATAACTAATATATAATTACGACAACAATGATAATAACAGTGATATTAATTTTATGACATTTTAGACAGAGCAGGACCCACCTCGTCGAAGAGCTCCTCAGTAAGTCCAGCACCTCAAAAAAAGGAAATGTAAAAATATCTGACGAGGTTAAAAATGAAAAACATTTAGAAAGATGTGGATTTGATTCGGCATGTAGGCATACAAATGAACAACTGAATTACTTCAAAATTCAAATTTCAACCGTGATTTATGAGGTAATCGCATCATAATTCAGTTTATTCCAATAATCAATACTTTTGTGTGTGAATCGTCGTTTAACTCAGTTTGTGTGGACTGTTTTGGTATCATTATTACTTCCTGTGGTTCTCAATCTAAGTGAAAGATGGCTGCCAGTGTATATCCCGGATAGACTGACACTTAACTTTATTAAAAAGAGTTCTGCTAGAGTTTCTGTGAGATATTGTCTGACTTCTGATCAAACATGAGTGAGTAACACTGTTTATTTCTATAAGAAATAAAGCTTCCCTTAAATAATGAAACCCATTCACAATTTTTTTCAGTTTCTTGCTAATAAATGGTAAGCATCCCAAAACCTTTATTGGAACCTCCCATTGTAGTTTTCATAGGAAGCTATTATTGTACGTTGAGTGCCTGGTATCAACTCAGGCAAGAACATACAGTCGATGCTATGGATTTACCTGGATCTTGTCCATTAAAGATAAAATGTGTCACCTCAAATAGTAAGAGGAATTATGCTGACATTTCTTAATTATACCATTTTTCATCATTTCTTTATAGTTGTGGCAGCGATGATGTCAGCGAAGACCTCAGCGACACATTGTCATACAGTTGTACCGAAAGCAGCAAATATGAAATGTTCTCACTCAAAAGTTATCGGTATTTTGGGGCAGAAGCAGGAGCTTCTGTTTACATCCACTGCGATTTCAGAGTTTGCTTGGCAGATGTAGCCTATACCAAATGTCAATGTCCAGATAATGCTGCCACTTGCGTAGGTGATCCTACCGCTGATGTTCCTCCGAGACCGGTCCTGAGGCGTAGACGTCGTTCAATCTCTGATTCGGTGGATGAGCCACAGATTTATCATGTTGTCTACGGTCCATTCACCTTTAAGCAAGCAGAACTGAACAAAGATGAAGGTAAATTATGATTTACAGGGCTTTTGGTGATGGGATAGGAATTTTTGTTTGGTGCTTTCCACATTCTCTGCTAACCAAGACTGGTTTTCCATGATAACTGTCCAAGTTAGAAATAGAGGCCACACGGGGCAACTTGTAGAAATCTATTTGCTTCATTTCAGCTGCATCTGAAGACCAAGAGGTGACCAGCCAGTCTTTCCAGAAGGTAGCAATTGTTGGAGCAGTATGTGGTGTTGCGGCTGTAACTGTCATCTGCGCTACTGTCTACCTTGTCATTCGCTATCGCAACAAACGCTTGCAAAATGGAGATCTGCACGTGGTCACCTAAACTGCAAACACCAATAAGCTGTATTGTGCAAACGCACCAATATTATGGTTTTTGAATTTACCAAGAAATACTCATTTGAATGAATGATGTGTCTTATGAAGCAACTTATAGTTTAGCAAGATTTAGTTGAGTTGCGGATGTTGATTTAGACATAACATTTCCCTTTTTTTAAACGAATAAATGATTGATCGGCTTTTTTCTTCAAATGATGGTGGGAATCAATAGAATTTTCAAAGTCAATCGGATTTTTGTCTTATCTTTAGTGTCACACGCTTTTCAGGAGGAAAAAGGGAGAGTTAGTCGTTGCTAAAATAGATTAAAGTGGAGAAAACAGAAAACTGACTGCCAATGTATGGGCGATCATTACAATACTACAGGGCCTTAGGGAAAATCGGGTAAATTTTATTGTGACATAACCAAAATACACAATCTCGATACACTGCATCTCTAAGATCTTAAGCCGAAAGTTGTCGATTTTACTTTGGGAAAGGTCCAGTTCAGTCGATCACAGTGGCGTGTCAGCCATTTTGTTGGACGAAGAAGTGTTTTGTTTACGTTCTCTCCTTATACTGATTCCGAATAGCTTAAAAACACGTTTCCGCATTTCGCTGTGTCTGACGATAAAAACCAACGGATTCACTGCGCTGTTTGAATAATGCATCCATTTTACGAATATCACTAACGCAGTCATACCGTCCCCTTCAGGCAAACAGCCTGCACAGAACTCAGCCAGCATTGAAAGAACAAAGAAAGGCGTCCAGGCCATGAGGAACAAACCTGTTAAAATGCTGACGGTCAAGGCAACTTTTCGCTCTTCACGGACTTTGCACGCAACGGCTTCTGCCGTGTCCAAGCTTGGGGTTCTACGAACCAGCGAACTTGCAGTTCGGAAGATCTTTGTGTACATTGTCAGTATCAAAATAGTTGGTAACACGAAGCCGACAGTGAAAACGAAGACTGTATATGCTCTTTTAAGCGTTATCGATCTTTGCATTTGCGAGAGTGCCGCCATGATTATTGCTGAAAGCCATGCTGTTGATATCAAGATTTTGTACACACGAGTCGTTAACGTGCCGTAGGTAAATGGCCTCGAAATCACATAGCAACGTTCGATAGCAATCGCCGTAAAATGAAAGATAGAGGCCAAGGCACTAAATATATCAAAACACAAATAAATCTCCAGCAAATGTATCGGGATATTCTGGAAATTAACAAACGTGAGATAAGTCCATATCGGCACGGATACAGCTCCGACCAGTAAATCTGAAACAACCAGGCTCACGATAAAGATATTAGTGCGTGTGTGAAGAAAAGCATTGCGTCTATAGGTTGTTATCACGAGAGAGTTTCCTACAATGATGAGAAAAGCTAAGGCCTGAGAAAACACTAGCAAAACATACGATGGTGAGCGCGATGAACCAGGAACTTCGGAAGTCGTATTCATCACCGCACTCCTTTACCGAGCAAAGAAGATTTAAAGATGGTTTTGAGGGCTCCGCCTTAAAAATTGGAGAAGTGTTCAATGCAAAAACAATTTCCTCCTGATGAACGTCTTATCGGGCAGCGCTTTCCTTTGATAGTCTAATTACCTTTCAAATTTTATTCAAATAAATAGTTAAACAAAGAAATGCAAAATCTTCCGTCAAAGAGCATGGCAGTAGCAGAATACGTCTTGTTCAAAAAATCTTTCACTCTTCATAAAAGACTTGTCCAATTTTTTGAGTACCTTTCGCACAATTCTTGCGGCCAACGAAAAAGGGCCTTTTTTTTAAAACATGACCAGCATAATCAAGAAGCATCCGGTTTGAAAGTATACTTGAATTGCCTCAAGACAGGAAATATTTTAGATGCAAACGACCTTTGATGACATCCGTGGAAAATCTCCTCGGCTTTTCATACAATCCATTCTTTAGTACAATTGTCAATCTTAAGAGAAGTTCACCGACGCTTTGTAAGGCAAATTTGTCCGCCACAAAGCAAAGTGTTTGTTGCCCTTTCACTGCTGAAAGGTCGACACTCAAAGCCTTTTTTTATCCGGTTATAAAACAGTAAGTGTATTTCTTATCCTTAAAATTCATAACTTTGACGATAAATTGAAACCACTATGGGGGCTCCGTAGGTTTATTTAATATCTGTATAATTCAGTATTGTAACGTTGTTAGAGCGCCTAATAAATGACGTTTCTTTCACAACATCTCAAAAATATGGTTTTTAAAATATTGCCGAGAGGAACTTATGGCGTTTCATTATTAATGAAAGAAACCAGAACCTTTCGAATTCGTAATTTAATTTTTATGGAAGTGTACTTTTAAATATCTTTTAAATATCTTTTAAAGGATCTAAAAATTCTAAGAAAAATGCGGTTGCATGAAGCTGCTCATTTACTGTCTAAGCGCTCAAAATTCATGTCTTTTTTTGAAAGAAAGAAAAATTTTTGTTTGGATGAGGAAAAACGTAAAAAAAAAGGATATTTGAGTCCCCATGAAAAGGTGAACAGAAACGGTGCAGATGCCTCATTCGCAAATAGAGGAGAATCATCACAAGCAAAACTAATATTCGTAGAAGGAAATCATCTCCTCCTAACACCATAAACTAAGCAAAACATGTCAATGCAATTCGTCATACCATAGAAATTACACTAAGGTATGGCTCTTTATGCAGGCAATGGGCGATGCGATAATTTGTGATGTGATGTAGCGTGATCTAACGTGACATGACGTATTGCGGTATGATTTGATTTGATGTGATGTGATATGATGTGATGTAACGTGATCTAACGACGTTACGTGATGCGATATGATATGAAGTGACATGACGCGATGCAATGTGATATGATGTGATGTGATGTAACATTGTCTAACATGATGTGATGTGATCCGATGTGACGATGATGTGACCTGATGTGATTCGGGTGGTTCCACTTTACTACCGCCGTATTGGAGAAAAATTCATCAAGAAAAATTCATCAAGAAAATTCGTAATTCGTTAAATTTATCGAACGCGGTACTTTGCCTCGAAAGTAATCTTCCAAAAAGATATCAATTGGCTTCATAGCAATGTACTTAAAATGAACGGTATCGTGTTCCTTGTAATGTGCAACCTCGGGTCCTCCGGTCCCTTCTGGGTAGGACCTTGTAAATGGGTAAACATCGAGGACCTCGAGGTTAGCCTGGCACATAAGGGAAGTAGCAAAGGTATTGTATAGTATCACTCTCTGAAAAGAAAAAGAGATTTTGGTGAGCTAAGTAACCTCCCCTCTTTGTATATCAAAAGCCTTCCTAACAAGGTCAAGATTGCAAAAATATTTTTTTGTAGTTTGTGCTTCGCAAAAAACAGTCTGTTAAACCCACCATTATTTTCAAAGACAGTACGAAAATCTCAAAGTACTTGGACACGCTAGAAAGCCTGGGAATGGATGATGAAAAAGTAAAAAAATATTAAATTAAGTATTTGCCTACCGTAGGGTTCAGAAATCGCTGCCAGTCACTCTTTAGTCGACTTTCAATGTCTTTCTCTTTATTCATAGAAGTTGTGGTTTTCCAAATAACGCGAGTCTTGTACCTTAATTCACCATTTCCCTTAATCCTTTCGTTTAAAAGATCTATCACTCCTTTTAGCAGAATCCGATAGTTGGCTAAGCTTGTGCTTTCCATGTAATGCAGACCCAAATTCAGAATCATTGCGCTGTTTTCATTCATCTCAGGTCGTTCCAGGACTTCTCGGATGTGATCTAAGATTTGCTGGGGTTCAAAATCCTTGTCGTCCCAGGCTACTGGCTGTATGCTCGGCCACGGGTACACCCACATTTTACTTAAATTACAAATTTTGAAAACTTCATTGCACAGCGGCCCATCCTTCAATGATACGTATAATCTCTCAGCATTTGAATCACCGAAAAGCCACAATGTCCCTAGTTTACGAGGAGACGTACTTTTGAATCGGGAGTGGTTAGAAATATCTGGATAAGAGAAAAATACACATTTGGATGGATAGCATCAATCATATAAATGAAAGGGATTTGGCCGTGATAAGCTCACTGTTTCTGGATCAAATGGAAATTTTAAGCTTTGGCTTTCCATTTTAGGGGCAATACGGGACAAAAGGTTTTAGATTAGGGACGAGCCAATAACAAACCAAAACCACGTGTTACGCATGCGCTGCGCTCACCCGTTAGCTATCGAGTTGAAGACTCGAAGAGACATACCATATTTGCGCGCGCCGATATATTTATATTTATTTATTTTATTCACTCTTATCTGTATATATCGCAATAATCGATAATTTTGCAGCTGTGTAATTTTCTGAATTAGTTAAGGCCAGTCGAGCCTGTTCTCATCATTAGGGACCTCAAACGATCAGGACGGCAAAGCCGAGGAAGACCTCAATAAAGTTAAAATTTTGCGTTCACTTCCACTTACAGCGCCATAACTCAAATTCAGCAAAACGTGTGAGTAGCGTTGAGTTCTCGGAAACACTGATTGGGTTTTGTTCTTAGACGTGCGCGCTGATTTTGGTGATTTCATGGTATTGTTTTGCAGAGGACTCTCAAGAAATGTTCAAAGCCTTCAAACGCACATACTGAGTTAAAGTTCTGTCCAATATATCTTCTGTTTTGCCACTTCCTCGTTGCCTTCGCCGTTCAAGGTCTCTATCAACCAACTGCCAAGTCACTTCACTACTCATAAAGGACAAAAATTGACGTGCGGACGTGGACTCTTGAAGAATTTACACTTGTTACGTACCTGTGAGGTAAGGTCTCCAATTTTTTCCAAGCCACCTCCCAAACCCATCCCACATGAAGTTGCACTTCACTCCACAGGTCAAGTCAAAGTCTGGGAGGAAACGTACCCTCTGTGAATTCATTTTTAATTGCCTGTTTAGTCTGTTTATTAAATAGGTTCCTATGAAAACAATTTACAGACATCATAAGATGTATTTTCGCATTTTCTCACAAAGTTGGATATTAACTATGTTTGGATGTAGCGGCCATAAGTGGAAAGTAATAGCCAGGCTATAATCTAGGATGTTGCATCTGGGACTTTTCTGGAACTCATCACATTACAAGCACATTTGAAAGACTTGTGTGAAGAAACAAAACCAGTTTTATTAACCCTTCGAGACCTAGGAGTGACTAGCATCTGGAATGATGTTACATGTACCTGGTATTTTTATTGGGTGTTTTCCTTGAGAACGAGAAAAATCCTCTCTAAATGTCTACAGTGGGAGTAAAAACTCCTTAGGACATACCTATACCCAGATATATTTAAAATGACCACTTTTTGCCAATTCAGGCGAGCACACAGAACCTCCCCTCCCCCCTCTAACAATGTTGGTAAAAGTGAGCAATTGCCACGGTGCCTTAACGAAGCGCACATAATTCAGCATTGTTTGGGGGAGAGGTGGGAGGGGGGATAGTTCGACATTAGTACTATATATCCCGTCAAATGTTCCATGACTTTTAACCTGCATATTACTTGATGGCTTATTTCTAGATTGTCGTAGCACCTTCGCCTTGGAAGCGAGAATTACCCAATGCTTATTTTCATCTTTTCCTTGAAATAACTAAGAAGTTATTAGATCCTATCCTACCTCCAGCTGTAGGTAACGGAATGTTGATCATAATAAGCTTTCCATCTTGAAAGCGTTGAAGAAGGTAATCATCTCTGGCTCGGTTCTTTCCAAGCATGCCTTCTTTCTGTAATTTACCATGCGAATTCCCTGAGGAAAAACAATACTTTTAAAATAAGGATTCTCTCCTTTGGAACTTCCATTTAATGAAAGAAGCGGGTAGGATGAAAAACAACTGCGGTTACTAAACACAACAGTCAGATTCGATTTGTCGCGAGCGTAGTTTCAAGAAAACATTTGGGTCACCGCACGACAAATTCAATCTTGGACCTTTGGATTCTGCGATCTGATGCTCAACCATTAGGCAAAAGAGAGCAGCGGAGCATTCGGATCGCGTACTCAAAGGTCTTAGGTGCGATTCATCAAGGGAACTAACTTTTTCATCGCCCCATTCTTGTCACAAGAAGAATAATATCTTTCATTATGCCTTAAACAAACGCAAAATCTACCATCTTTCATTTCTAAAAATAAATAGTTATTCGTACCAACTATAAACCAATTTTTCGGGGGTTCTCGATATCCATCACATAAGCTATAGTCCAGAGTGATATCCAACTTATAGACCCCTGGGTCCATAACAAGAAACAAGAACTCGTACGTTCCATTTCCGTGATCAAACATTGTAGGTGACACAGTGGCCGGACCGAGAAGCAACACGCGCCACGAGTCGCCGCCAATGTGCTTCAACTTGCCATTCCGAGTCTTTGTTTGAATGCTGAAACGACTGAACTGACCCGTAGGCCTGATGTCAAAAATCGAAATCAAACTCTTGCTGGCATCCGTCTGAAGTTCGCGATTAGGTGACGGCCCATTCCATGAAATATTGTGGAAACATGGTCTAAGGATTGAGTCCAAATGAACTCGCGCTTGGTGAATTCTACACCAGCTTTCTTGAAAACTTTCGACTTGATGCGAAGTTTTCAGCGCGTCTTCGAAGGAAAATGAATTTCCTCCATTGTTTCTGAAATACTGGAAATAAAACAGTTGTAGTGCTATTGCTGATAGCCATAATTTCAGAACCGCTCTAAAATGCCGAGCGATGAGGGAGATCATTTAGAATGAATAAATGTTTTATTTATTAGGTTTACTAGGAAAGGACGTGGTGTGAATGATGTTGATCGTAATCATGGTAACTAAGACTAAACCGCCAGTAATCTTTTTGTCAGCTTGTTCAACCAAACACTTATCCTAATTCAAAATCTATCAAATTTAATGAAGAAAACAGAGCCAATAAAAAAGCTTATGTTTAGTGTCAGCTTGTTCAACCTAACACTTATCCTAATTCAAAATCTATCAAATTATATGAAGAAAACAGAGCCAATAAAAAAGCTTATGTTAAGTGTCAGCTTGTTCAACCTAACACTTATCCTAATTCAAAATCTATCAAATTATATGAAGAAAACAGAGCCAATAAAAAAGCTTATGTTAAGTGTCAGCTTGTTCAACCTAACACTTATCCTAATTCAAAATCTATCAAATTTAATGAAGAAAACAGAGCCAATAAAAAAGCTTATGTTAATGGCCAAGTGATTCGCAGAAATAACTTTGGCCAAAACGTGACCGTGCCCACGCTTATTGAGGCGTGTCAAGCATCTATTACCATCAGAAGCGCGAATCACGTCGTACAATTCTTTGATAGTCCAGTTTTTGACTATGCCGATATCATTTGAGGAGACAAGGATAATACTATTATTATGGAAGATTTGCAAATACTGCAAAATAAAGCCGCAAAAGTTATCCTCGATTTGCCGAGCAACGCTTCATCCACTGATGCTCCAAAAACTCTTGGCTGGCCAACATTACTCCAACAGCGCCTTGTACATAGATACATTGCCGCCTCTAAGTACATTCACGGGCTTGTGGATTATAGCTTTAACATTTAAAGAAATTCTGACATCCATAGTTATAATACGAGAAGAAAGCACGATTTCCGCCTTCCTCATGTTAAAAGAAACAATGGAAAACAAAGACTTTAATACATATGTGCAAAAGAATGGAAATCGACTCTTTCCTCGTTTTTGAGCAAAGACAATTAGTTTTTTTTATCGACTGAATAATAAGCAACTTTTATCAACATATTTCGTGTATTTCACAGTTTTTGTGTTTTTAACTTGTTATCTATTTATGATGTTTTTTTTTTTTTTTAATACAGTGCCTCACAGAATACCACTTTCCAGTGACGTGAGCACCCTGCATAGAAACTGTTATTGTTATTATAACAATATGCACAAGCCGTGTCGTGTTCAACGTGAATAAAATTCGAGTTTTTGCCGATCTAAATTAAATTGGGTCGACGGAATTGATTCAAATTCCAATTACATGTAATTCTAGCAGCATGCCCTCGGCTTATGAATGAATCTAACGAAAACATCAAAGAGCAATAGTTGTGCATTTGATTCGCCTCAACTGAAGTGCGCAAAGTGTCTGGCCTTGGTTATAGCTAAACTAAGATTGATAGTTATGTCAAGTAAATTTGGTGATGCTTTATTAATGACATCGTACTTTGTAAATTGACTGTCGATTGTGATTTTGGACTTCTCTCGTATCATGAATATGAAGCAAAACAGAGGTGAAATTTAAAGCTTTTACAAAAACCAACACGATTCTAAGTTTCAGAGTTTTTCTAGCCGTATATAGTGTTTAACGAGGTTACAGTAAAAAAAAAAAAAAAAAAAAAAAAAAAAAAAAAAAATCCTCGGCGAATAACAAAGAGAGGCACAAGTACATCAACATTCCAAGCAAATGTGTTCGGTTACTATGGTTATAGCTGTTGTAGTTTCAACGTGTCCTGGTGGATAATTTGCATAAGGTTAAAAAGCAGAACATTTTTTACAACCATTCGATGGAACTTACATGCTCCAAATGAGCCAGGGTTACGTCCACTGGTGGAAAACATTTGTCAAATGTTGGCTTTCAACAGTAGCTGTTCATCTTCTTCACTACAATTATTTCAGCGATGAAAGAAACTTGTATTCTCTTGAGGAATCAAACAGAATTTCCCAAAATGTCGAACAATTCAAAGAATATTGGTGTCGAATTCGTCGAGCACGGGTCGACTTGGACTCAATTCTTAAACCATGTTTTTACAATATTTCATGGAATGGACCTTCTCCTGAACGCGCGCTCCAAACGGATGCCGGCAAAAGTGCGATTTCGTTCTTTGACATTAGACCAGCAGGTCAGTTCAGTCGTTTCAGCATTCAAACAAAAACTCGGAATGGTAAACTGAAGCACATTGGCGGCGACTCTTGGCGTGTGTTACTGCGCGGTCCGGCCACTGTGTCACCTACTACGTTTGATCACGGAAATGGCACCTACGAGTTTTTGTTTCTTGTTATGGACCCTGGGGCCTATAAGTTGGATATCACTCTGGACTATAGCCTGTGTGACGGATTCCGCGATCCGCCAAAAAATTGGTTCATCGTAGGTAAGATGTCTGAAATATAATCAAAAAAAGTTCCTTGGGAGTCTTGTTTGTGATGTGAATTGATGCTGGGCAAGATACTAAACTCTGGATAAGAGTTCTTTGCTTAAAAATTGTACATATAATGGTCCTGTAGCTTTTCTTGGGTTTGATTAGTATTTCAACAACAGAATCAAAGGTAAATGAACATGGAAAGCTGTTCTTTTGATTAATCCAATTGGAAATCTGACTTAAGAATACATTTTAAGAGGACAGTGCTTCAATTTGTGCAAGTCTCACTCATTTGACGTCATCACAGATTATTAAAACGGTAATCTAATAAATTACATTATACATTCGAATTCAATTCGAGCCAAAATGTTTGCGCAGATTACGAAATCATTCATCTCATCTTCTGTCTACTTTTTCTGAAACTTAATTCTGAACACTTAAAACTTAAAGATATATAGCATCAAGATTCTGAAACGTGGTTTTTTTTATCGTTGATTCTCCTTGCTTGATAATCATAGATGTTCATAAATTTGAGTTGGTTCTCTAAAACCATCATCATACAAGTACACCGCAGTCGGCAGCAAGTTTCTTTCATTCCCTCTTGTCTTGCACAAGGTTTCATATCTCTTCTGGCGTTTTAGGAAAGTCGTAGTAAAGATACCAGTCGCTTAAGTCTCAGCTTTAGGCAACCAGACTTAGACTTACGCAACCATTTTGCCGCATCAGGGAATGTCCTCAAGGAAGTGGATCTTTTGTTCGTGTTATGAAGCTAAAATAAGTAATAAAAAGAGTGAAAAAAATAAATCTAACAAGTATTTCCTAATCTTGGACAAAACTTTTACCACAATTTTAAATTACCCACCACAGATCCTTTTAGTTTTGACCTGCTAAATCACCAACTGTATGTGAAGCACCTCACCTCATGAATACTACAACCTCGTCAAAACGATCCATCTTTCATGGCCAGCGGTCGCATTGATGAGATCTACTATTTTATCTTTTCGCATCGACCCGTTTGTCCCTTTTTCTTATTTTACTTTTTTTACAAGGAAATTCCCAAGGTAAGATGCAAAAAGATGGGACACTCGGTGCAAACCGTGCGAAGGACGACTACCTTCTTCAATCATTCCAGAATGGGAAGCTTATTATGATTAACATTCCGCTGCCAGACGATAGAGGTAAGGGAACTTGTGAATTTCTGACTGGATCAACGTTTCTGACGGTTTTTCTTTTGCTAGGCAAACTGAAAAATAAGCTGTATATACACAAAGCAATTAATTTCTGACGAGCACCGATCGTAAACACGAAGTCGCAACGCGTTCAACAGCGTACTCTCAAGGAACTACCCATTATTCATTATTTATACCCTGGGGGCGGAAAGTAGGTGGGCGGGGGGTTTCGGAGGAATTTGGGGGATCTCATGGTTTTCTCTATAGTTTTCAGGGGGAACAGAAGGGGATCAGTTGTCGCGAGTAGAGTATAAAGAGGGATGGAACTATAGAAAACGGACTGTCCAAAAAGTAAGATCATTAGAAAGCAAAAGAGCTTTAGTGGAGAATAGGTAAATTTTCTTGTGGCTTTACCAAAATGTTCCACGTCCCCTTCTCCCTGATGATAAGTTAAGACCAGTCGCTGATTGCGTTTGAGCTTCTGTTTAGCAAGGACACGCTTTCCCGCATTACTTTGATCGTCATGACCCTTTAGGAAAAGCTATCAAGTGCACCGTTTCAAATACAGTCCAAGTGAACCTATTTGCCGTTTGTTGCAATGTTCCGGTCCTTTCCGGTTTATTCCTTCTGCCTGTAGGAGCATTTCTAATGAACCAGTTACCAGACCGCCCCTGCCTCTCTGCCAAGTTTAACTTGTCTTGTGGCATGGATTGTAAATTTACGTGGGATGGATTCGGCCGTTGGCTTGGAAAAAATTGGAAGCCATATCTTACAGGTATGTTTCGGGATTGTGGTTTACGGCAACTAAGCAAAACTAGCGTAACTCCCGTGAGGGAATTTATTATAAACCAACAGATTTCAGTCGTCGTTCAAATGGTAGACGTAAGTAAGAAATAAAAGTCTGAAAACTGTAACGGTAATTACGTCAAAATTCAAAGCTTGTGTAAAATAGTCTGTTTCTACGCTCTTCAGTGAATTCACTGAAGAGCGTAGAAAACGAGTCCCTGCGCAGACGCATTAAAGTCGAAGGACCTCCCGCACATACCGTTCAGTTGATCTACCGCTGAGCCATACAGAACTCGTGACGAGCCATCACTTGACAGTTGGTTCATATGTGATTCTCGCCTTGCATACTGCTCCTGACGGTGAATGTTATTATTTTTTGTGATGTAGAGAGCTTTAGCGGAGCTCTAACCACTTGAATTCTTTACAGAAGTACCTGGGCACACTAAGCCGATGAAATTGGGTATCACGGCTCCCAAGCTGGAAAAGTTGTGGATTTATGGAGACTCACAGGCCGAAAGACTGCACTTATCGATAAAGGATGGACCTCTTTGTACGGAGATCTTTAAATCTTGTAATCTAAGTAAAATGTGGGTTTACCCTTACAGCGGTCAGTTTCCAAAATGGGATGATCAAGACTTCGATAAGTCCATTATTCTCGATAGTCTCAGGGTTGTGTTGGAAAG